TGAGACCAGAGTCTTCCTCTGTCACCCAGGCTGGAGTTTAGTGGCGCGATCTTGGCTCACTGCAATCTTCACCTCCTGGGTTTAAGCAATTCTCCTTTTTCAGCCTCCTGAGTAGCTAGGATTACAGGCGTGTGATACTATGGCCAGCTAATTTTTGCATTTTTAGTGGAGATGGGTATCACCATGTTGGCCAGGCTGGTCTCGAACTCCTGACCTCATGATCTGCCTGCCTTGGACTCCCAAAGTGCTGGGATTACAGGGATGAGCCACCATGCCCAGACCTTATGCTACTCTTAAAGTAGGGCAACCTGGCTAAGGTCAGTGGATTTTCTGATCCTGAGAACCCTTGTATTAATGATTATTTTTTTGGAAGACGGTCATTAGATTATTAACAAGTTTTACGACATAGACATTGTCTGAAGTATTTTTACTTCACATCAGCAGGGAAGAATCCAGTAGACAAAATGCATAATCTGACTGGGTATGGTGGCTCACACCTATAATCCCAGTGCTTTGGGAGGTCAAGGCAGGAGGATCATGTGAGGCCAGGAGTTCAAGATCAGCTTGGGCAACACAGTGAGACTCCGTCTCTATGAAAAAAATTTTAAAAATTAGCCAGACATGATGGCATGTACCTGTGGTCCCAGCTGTGTGGGAGGCTGAGGTGGGAAGGATCCCTTGATCTCAGGAGTTGGAGGCTAAGGTGAACTACGATTGCACCACTGCACGGAGTGACAGAGTGAGACTCTATCTTAAAAATCCAAAACTGTCACTTATTTATAATATCCATTCTGGAGTTAAAACTTAGAATTGTCTAGATGTTTCAACAGTATACTAAAAATGAAAGTGTCACCCAATTCAGAATTTCAACAAATCTTTTTTTTTTTTTTGGGATGGAGTTTCACTCTTGTTGCCCAGGCTAGAGTCCAATGGTGCCATATTGGCTCACTGTAACCTCCGCCTCCTGGGTTCAAGCAATTCTCCTGCTTCAGCCTTGCAAGTAGCTAGGGTTACAGGCATGCACCACTATGCCCAGCTAATTTTGTATTTTTTTTTAGTAGAGACAGGGTTTCACTTTGTTGGTCAGGCTGTTCTCAAACTCCTGGCCTCAAGTGATCCACCCACCTCAGCCTCCCAAAGTGCTGGGATTACAGGTGTGAGCCACTGCACCTGGCCTGAATTCCAACAAATTCAAAAGGCTGTTAGGTTGTTTTATGAATATGTTACAAAGCATTTGCCTAAGGACCCAATACCTGGCAGGAATCATTTACACTATGGAGGTTAAGGAAGTTCATCTTTAAGTAGCCCAAGAAAAGTAGATTATTATATTAGGCTATGTAAGACACACTTAACAGGTCAAAAAATGTATTTGCTAGGTTGTGAATTTGCGAGAAGCTGAACGGAAACAACAGTTATATAATGAAGAAATGAAAATGAAAGTTCTGGAACGGGATAATATGGTTCGTGAATTAGAATCTGCATTGGACCATCTAAAATTGCAGTGTGACCGGAGACTGACCCTCCAGCAAAAGGAACACGAACAAAAGATGCAGTTGCTGTTACATCATTTCAAAGGTAACTTCCCCTTTTTGACAGTTATGCAAAGTTGGTGTGTAGGTGGGGGTACTAAAGGAATATAGGACAGAATTTGATCATTTAAAAGCTCAACATGTTTAAATAGTTGCTACATAGACCAGTTTTTAGGCTTTACATGTTTTGGTTGCCGCATTTTGGGACAGCTGACTTTGTTGTAGGGCTCTTTGTGCTTGGAATGCCATCCTTTCTCCTTGCCCCCAGTATGCACATAAGAACTGCTGCAATCCTGTGAGCTTGTCGTTGGTCTAGTTTTTACATAGAGATGTGGGACTAATTCAGGCTTTTTGGTATACAGTTGAAATTTTTTTATTTTCCAAGGATATAATACTATCATATTTAAATTATTTTCCATTCACAAAATTAAAGTGATAGGTTCTGTCATATTCCTAGTTATATTTCATGTTATAATTGTCAGTTGATTGTAAAATTTTATGTATTAAAGTTACATCTTGGGTCAAAATTAGACTGCCATTGATGGGCACATACCATTATCGGTGAGCAGTAGTTCACCACCAACTCTGACAGAAAACTCTGATAGTGATCTGGCCACAGTTTAGCTGGGCATGTGGCCAGTATACAAACAGCTACTATGGCAGCAAAATAATTATTATGTGATACTGTTATTGCTTTAACTAAGGCTGCTTAGTCTTGAGTCTCATGAGCCCATAGCTGAAAATAGGTCTAAGTTAATTCTGTCACTGGTTAATTAGCAACCAGTTGCCTAATGACAGAATTTCCTTGCAAGATCTCACACATCATTACATTCAAACACGCTCTCCCTACCTTAGTTTAGTTCGGAAACTGATGCTTTAATATTTTTTAAAGTGACTGGGATTATACCACAGAAGTTCAGGCTGTAGCCAAAAAATAATATATAAAAACTTGGCTGAACACAGTGGCTCACACCTGTAATCCCAGCACTTTGAGAAGCTGAGTCAAGAGGACCGCATGAGCCCAGGAGTTTGGGACCAGCCTGGACTACATGGTGAAACCCCATCTCTACAAAAAATTTAAAAAAACTATCCAAGCATAGTGGCACATGCCTGTAGTCCCAGCTGCTCTCAGGCTGAGAGGAGAGGATCACCTGTGCCCCAGAGGCTCACTACTGTACTCCAGCCTGGGTGACAGAGTGAAACCCTGTCTCAAAAAAAAAAAAAAAAAAGTTAAAAAAATCATTTCTATAGCTGTACAAATTATTCATAACAAAGTTGTGGCTGGGTGCAGTGGCTAATGCCTGTAATCCCAGCGTTTTGGAAGGCTGTGGTGGGAGGCTCACTTGAAAGTAGCCTGGGCAACATAGTGGGACCCCATCTGTATTAATCAGTGTTCTCTAAAGGGACAGAACTAAATATATATATATAAAGGGGAGTTTATTAAGTATTAACTTACATGATCACAAGATCCTACAATATGCTTCTGCAAGCTTGAGGAGCAAGGAGAGCCAGTCCCAGTCTCAAAAGTAAAGAGCTTGGAGTCTAATGTTCGAGGACAGGAAACATCCAGCACAGGAGAAAGACGTAGGGTGGGAGGCTAGGCCAGTCTCACCTTTTTATGTTTTTCTGCCTGCCTTATATTCACTGGCAGCTGATTAGATGGTGCACCAGACTAAGGGCAGGTCTGCCTTCCCCAGCCTACTGACTCAAATGTTAACCTCCTTTGGCAGCACCCTCACAGCCACACCCAGGATCAATCCTTTGAATATTTTAATCCAATCAAGTTGACACTCAGTATTAACCATCACAAGGCTACCCCTTGTCAACTTGAACCCATACACATCTCCTGAAATCACACATAATCTTCAAATAAAGACAATAATAAAGTTATAATTAAGTCTAACATAATACAACTATCCTTCATACAACCGGAAATGCACCAGTCCCCAACCCAAATACTATTATATAAAGTTAACGATACTTAAATGCTGATGTGAAGTCAATAAATCTTCTGTCACATGATAAAGGAAAAGGAAATAAAATGAAGATATTTTCTTAGTACAAGTGTATATATACACAAACATGTATTAAACAAAATAATGAGGAAATACGACAGTTACAGTACTTGTTTCTGCAGCTGGTCACATGGTCGTAGCTGGTATTGATGACTACCTTCTTCTACTACCCATTCTGTATTCCCTTTGCTTTCAGCAAGCACCACAGCAGGTTGTGGTTTTTTTCCTAGTGGAGTGACCCAAACCTTCATTCCCGAGGGGTCCTGACCATTTGTAGTCCTGCCTGGATTGGGCTATTGTAGTTTCTCATTGACCTTAATCTCAGGGCATGGTAATACTAAGAGATGCCCAATGAATCTTCTGTATTCCATGTGTACTCTTCCTTACCTCTGTTATGGAGTAGTAGACTAATAATTTCATTTGATAGTCTGGGTCAATCACCCCAGCCAACACTGTAACTCCCTTCTTAGCCTGTTGACTTAAAGGTAGGAGGAGCCCAAAGTGTCCAGGTGGCAATCATAACTTCCAGTTTGATGGGATCATTGTTCTGTCTCCTGGTGGCAGTGTTCTTCCCTCTGGAACAAAGTCTTCTAGGCCAGCAGAATGTAATGTTGCGGGAACAGGAAGCAAAAATTTTGCTAGTGGATCACTAGGGGTGATAGTGAGTGTACCACTTCCACTTCCACCCCTCAATTCCTGGACCTGTGATTCCTGGCTATGGGAGAAACAGTACCATGTATTGGAGGTTGATGCAGAGCATACACGGCCTTCTGGAGAGCTCTGTCACAGCCCTGCACAGTATTGTCACCTATTTGGTGTTGTAATTGTGACTTCAAAAGGCCATTCCACCGTTCTTTTATCCAGCTGCTTCAGGATGATGGCACTGGTAAGACCAGTGAATTCCATGAGCACAAGCCCACTGTCGCATTTAAAGTGAGTGCCTGGGTAAGAGGCAATGCTGTGTGGAATACCATGATGGTAGATAAAGATATTCCATGAGTCCACAGATGGTAGTCTCGGCAGAAGCATTGCATGCAGGATAGGCAAACCCATATCTGGAGTAAGTGTCTATTCCAGTGAGGACAAACCTCTGACCTTTTGATGATGGAAGAGGTCCAACATAATCAACCTGCTACCAGGTAGCTGGCTGATCACCCCGAGGAATGGTGCCATATTGAGGGCTCAGTATTGGTCTCTGCTGCTGGCAAATTGGGCACTCAGCAATGGTTGTAGCCAGGTTAGCCTTGGTGAGTGAAAGTCCATTTTGCTAACCCCATGCATAACCTCCATTCACCAGTTTTCCAATCATGCTTCTTCCAAGTCTCTGACCATCCAGTGAAACCATTGGCTGTAGCCCATGAATCAGTATATAATTGCACATTTGGCCATTTCTCCTTTCATGCAAAGTGCACACCAGGTGCACTGCGCAGTGGGAAGATTTCCCTTCACTGCTGTCCTTCAGGGATGTCCTAGAAAGGGGCTCTAGTGCTGCAGCTGCCCACTTTCGGGTGGTGCAGGCATATCGTGCAGAACCATCTATGAACCAGGCCTTAGTCTTCTCTCCCTCTGTCAACTGATCATAGGGAACTCCCCATGAGACCATCAGTGCAGGCTTGGGGTGACAAGGCAGTGTGGCAGGAGTAGAGACTATGGACATTTGAGTCACTTCCTCATGTAACTTATGCCTTCAGTACCTGCTTGAGCCTGATCATGTATATAGCACTTCCATTTGACGATGGAATGCTGCTGTGCCTGACCCACTTTATAGCTAGATAGGTCAGAAAGCACCCAGTTCAATGATAGGCAGTTCAGGTCGCATGGTGACTTGATGACCCATGGCCAAAAATTCAGTTTCCACTAAAGCCCCGTAATAGGCCAAGGGCTGTCTCTCAAAACGAGAGTAGTTATCAGCAGAAGATGTCAGGGCTTTGCTTCAAAATCCTAGAGGCCTCTGCTGTCATTCACCTATGGGGGTATCCCTGTCTGCCACTGACACCTCAAGCACCATTGGATCTGCTGGGTCATATGGCCCAAGTGACAGAGCAGCTTGCGCAGCACCCTGGATCTATTGCAATGCCTTCTCCTATTCTGGACCCCACTCAAAACTGGCAGCCTTTAGGTCACTTAATAAATGAGCCAGAGTAATACAAATGAGGAATGTGCTGCCTTCAAAATCCAAATAGGCCTACTAGGCATTATGCCTCTTTCTTGGTTGTAGGAGGGGCCAAATGCAGCAACTTATCCTTTACCCTTAGAAGGGATGTTTCAACAGCCCCCACACCACTGGACCTCTAGAAATTTTACTGAGGTAGAAAGTCCCTGAATTTTAGTTGGATTTCCCATCCTCTGCCACACAAATGTCTCACCAGTAAGTCCAGTGTGTTTGCTAATTCTTGCTCACTGAATCCAATCAGCATGTCATCAATATAATGAACCAGTGTGATAATCTTGCAGAAGTGAAAAGCAATCAAGGTCTCTCTGAATATGATCATGATACAAAGCCAGAGAATTGGTATGCCCCTGAGGTAGGACAGTAAAGGTATATTACTGGCCTTGCCAGCTGAAGGCAAATTGCTTCTGATGGGCCTTATGGACAGGAATGGTGAAAAAGACATTTGCCAAGTCAATGGCTGCATACCAGGTGTCAGGAGATGAGTTAATTTGCTCAAGCAAATCCAGAAGGTTGAAGCTGCAGTGAGCCTTGATTGCACCACAACACATTATAACCTGGGCAACAGAGTGAGAAGCTATCTCAAAAATAATAGTAATAGAAAATAAAAATAAAAACCAAGTTATAACTGACAGTGTTAACAATTGATGAATTTTCTAATTTCAATTGAATATCTGATATAAACACGGGGATTCTGATTTATTATGTCATTAATTTTATTTTAAAACAAGATGATGGACTAATTTAAAATACACAAATATACTTGGACAAAATTCTACAAAACAATTGTAACCAAAGAAAATCACAAACCACTAGGATCATTTTATAAATACACCAGTAGGAGAGAGAGCAGGTCTGAAATTATTTTTTTTCTGAAGGTCAGTACACTGGATTACACTGGTTCAAGAGCATATCCAATGGAAACAATGTTAGACATTCATAAATATTAATGAACATACTAATAAAGTTTCTAAACTTTATTACCTCTAAATTTAAAGTTTAGAAACTTTCAGTTACATTCTGGCATAAACTAGAACTTTATGCTGGCTATATTCCCTCTTTCTCTGTGGTGTTTTCCTTTGTGATTTAATCTTTATGGCCTCTTTTAATAGGTTTTTGTTTTTGTGGGGGTTTTGGCTGTATATTTCTTGGGCCTATAAATCCTAGTTATATGACTTTATATAACCACAGTTCCTGATATAAACTTTATACAAAATATTAAAGCAGCCAGTGAACAGAGTTCCAAAAGTCAACTTTTTATAGAAAACACCTTACTTCTGGTGTTCTAAGGATAGGTCTAGTTGGTAGCAACTGCAAAAAAATTCTTACAAAAGTGTGAGGGGTTGGTAGGGGTAGGAATGGAGGTGACTAATGGCTTAATACTACTTTGGGAAATTTTACAGGCAGAAAAATCCAAACTGTAGCAGAAAATAAACCCATTCAGGTAACAGATTTGTGTAATATGCTTCTTATCCTTTAAATATAGTCCAGGGACTATGTTAAAACATAATTTTCATCATTTATTTATTTATTGCATCATTTATTTAAAACTGATTTTAAATGCAAATTTCTGTTGTATAGAACAAGATGCAGAAGGCGTTATAGAAACTTTCAAAACATATGAAGATAAAATCCAGCAGTTGGAAAAAGATCTTTATTTTTATAAGAAAACCAGCCGGGATCTTAAGAAGAAACTTAAGGAACTGGTAGGGGAAGCAATTCGGCGGCAACTAGCACCATCAGAGCGTAAGACTTTTAGTGTTACTTGTCACGCTAACACTGTTTCTCTAGCATTTGGTGAAGTCGTGCCAGCTTTGTAGTGTAGGCTTTACCAACTGACTGGGTTATTTAGGATTGGATACTTCTATATTTGTCTCTGTAGACAAAAATCGTTGTTTAAGGCTGAACCACATGAGAAGTGAATGAATGAATGAACAAATATATAGATGCAAAGGAAAGCTCAATTATTGATTGTCTGCCATGTGCCAGGGGCTTGTAGACCTTAACTCATTTAATCCCTAAATTAACTCTGTAACATAGCTGTTGTTTTTCTATTTTATAGTAAATTCAGCCTTCTGATTATCACCAAAAAAAAAATGTATGGTAGGTAAGAGTAAAAGTAAAGGTGAAAGTATGTATTTTAAAGATAAATCAGGTCTTTATATATCATGACTCCTGGAAATTCAAAAGTGTAATAAACCCATTGTTGAGACAAAGATGTTTCCTTGTATAATTATATGTAAATATGTACATTTAGTACATTCCTAAATGAAATAACATATGACAGTATTATACTTTGCAAAAGTAAAAAATACTGTGAAGGTAATATATTGCTATGATTAAAATATACCCTCTTTAAGATAGCTGAATAGAGAAGAATCAATATTTCTAAAATAATAAAGTACACATTTTATAAAACAATTAGCTAATAATTTCTAATAATTCTAATAACAATTCTAATAACTTCAGTAATTTAAGCATGGTTTATGAAAAGTTGACTTTAAAATCTTTTAGGAACACACTTTTTTTTTTTACCTGGAAAGAAAACTGCTTAAAGATGGGCACATAAGATGTAAGACAGTGAAAAATTATATGGATGAGCAATGAAGTGATATATGTTGAATATGTAATAGAAGTAGAATTGGCCAGGCGTGGTGGCTCACACCTGTAATCCCAGCACTTTGGGAGTCCAAGGCGGGCGGATCAGGAGGTCAGGAGTTCGAGACCACTCTGACCAACACGGTGAAACCCTGTCTCTACAAAAAATACAAAACTAACTAGGCGTGACAGCGCATGCCTGTAATCCAAGCTACTCAGGAGGCTAAGGCAGGAGAATTGCTTGAACCCGGGAGGTAGAGGTTACAGTGAGCCGAGATCTTGGCATTGCACTCCAGCCTGGGGAACAAGAGCGAAACTCTGTCTCAAAACAAAAAAAAGAAAAAAAAAAAGAAGTAGAATTAACATAGTTTTAAAATGTAAAAGGCAGTAATATTTAGAAAAGTCATGCTAACTTATATTTGCGACATTTATCATGTATAGACATTTTCAAAAATAATGCCCATTAGCCTTCAAACTCAGGATAGGCTGGGGTCTGCTAATTCCATTTTTAGATGAGTGAATTGACGCCTAGAGGGGCAAGTGACTTACGGACAGAACAGGAATTGTAACATAGTCTAATGTCCCTCATCTTCTGACTGATGGTTCAGTATTCCAGGATAAAAGTTGTCTTAGGATAAAGATGTGATGCCAGACTGCACTCTCTGATTCTCAGTTCTAGTAATACAGAGGTGCTTACTAATGTAACTCATTTACTTGAAATACTGCCTGCTATATATAGCTAAAACTTAAACTTGAAACATTACTTGCCAAAAATTTAAAAGTAAAGAGGTTATCAAGTAATAGACAGAATAATCACCATAAGACCACTTTAGCTTTTAAAAAAGTCTACTGTCATATTCGAGGTTTCTGATATTAGACATCTAGTTTATAAATGGCTCATGTTTATACCACTGAATCTACTAGACATTTCTTTAAATGACAATGTGGTATGGTCGTAGACAGACTTAAGAAATCTGGAGCCTCATCCTGCTCTTTAACTAAACAAACAGAAATGTAAAACAAAGTTAATCTCGGAGAGGTGTAAAATGAGAATGACATTGTTCTGACCAACTTACCCAAAGAGTGGAGTCTTGATAATGACGTTGGAGATACTATTTCAGCTAATTTGCCATTCTACCTAGAAACATTTAAAATACTTCTATATTTGGCTATAAATAGTAATATATAGTCATTATAGAAAATCTGAAAATGAAGAAAACAAATAAGTTATAATCCTACCCACATTTGAGCATAATTCTTTTCATATTTTTCCCATGCTTTAAAATATACAGTTGCAATTATATTGGGGATATATATATATACACTATATCCTATCTTATAATGCTACTCTAATGTAATGACATGAAACAAGGTTTGCTTGAATTAAAAAATATAGCTATTTATATCAAACTCTGAGTTCTATAAAATGTTTTACATGCTTAATAATCAGCATCATAGTTAATAAATATCTTGGTATTTGGTGCAGTGCTTTTTGTTTTTTGTTTTTGAGATGGAGTTTCACTCTTGTTGCCCAGGCTGGAGTGCAATGGCACTGTCTCAGCTCCCTGCATCCTCCTCCTCCCCAGTTCAAGCAATTCTCCTGCCTCAGCCTCCTGAGTAGCCAGGATTACAGGTGCTGCCACCATGCCTGGCTAATTTTTTGTATTTTTAGTAGAGATTCATGTCGGCCAGGCTCCTGACCTCAGGTGATCCACCCACCTTAGCCTCCCAAAGTGTTGGGATTGCAGGCATGAGCCACCGTGCCTGGTGGTTCAGTGGGTTTTGATAGAAGACTGCCTATAAAACTTATATTTGTATTTTCTTTGAATATTTTTGGCCTTTTCAAATTGCAGAAAAATTCATCTTTTGACTAAAATATCTTGGTCACTTGATAGTCATGCCTCTGTTACAGTGTATCTGCTTTCTAACATTTTATAAGGATAAAATCAGTTTTATATGAACCTGCATTCTCTCTACTTATATTTAAACCTATCCTTGTATCAATTTAAATCATTATAAAACTATATGTAAGGATAATAGAGTCAGAAGATCTGACTTTTATAAAACTCTGACAATTATAAAACTCCAGAAGAGGGAAACTTTCTTGTGAAAAATCCAAGTGGGCTTTGGAGTGAGCCTCAGCAATGAGCCTATCTCTTTTCTTATGATCTTTTAAAAATAAGATGCCTTTCTCCTTCCCCCAGATACTGTCACCTGGGGAGCAGGATTTTTTTTTTTAGAGCTGGGGTCTCGCTCTGTTGCCCACGCTGGAGTGTAGTGGTGCAGTCATGGCTCACTGTAGCCTCAAACTCCTGGGCTCGAGCAGTCCTCCTGCCTCAGCCTCTCGAGTACCTGGGGCTACAGGCATGAATCGTTGCACCCAGCTAGGGAGCAGGATTTTTAAAAGCTTCCCAGTGACTCATTTACAGCAAAGTTTGGGAGCCACTGTCTGTGGTCAGTTTTGTATGAGTTTCATGTATGAGATCTAGATCATTTGCTAGTTCAGGTTATTTGATTTTGAGAGAATTTTAAAAACTAGAAAGTCAGTTATGTTTTAAGCCAGGGGTTACAAATGAGAATGCCTACCTGAGCCAGGAAAGCCAGAGTGTGCAATGGGGACTGCAGCAGCTCTCTAAATGGTCAGTGACAACTGTGTTTCAGCTGCTGTTGCAATTCAGAAACTGTTAACTCATAACTTTTCTAGAAAAGCTGTAAATCTATATTTTTATATGAAACTTTTCAATTTTTAAATTTTGGGTCAAGTGTTACTACATTATAGGTCAAATAAAACATGTCTACGGGCCAGATTTGGCTTGGGAGCTGCCAATGTTGTATGTTTTAAAACTGTCTTTGCAGGACTGAAGGTATACTAAGCATGTATCAATATGTTAAAGTTGGCATTTTTCATCATATTAGATCTAGTACCTAAATGCATTTCCCTTAAGCAAGTTTTTCTCTTTGATATTAGATATTCTTTAAGAACCTCTAGCTTTGATCTCTTCACTCTAATTCCATGGGTGTTCCCCCCACCCCAAGGGAGTATTCTCTCATCTCCATTTTGATGGTGGAAGTTGTGGCACACACCCCAGAGTGCATTCAGACAGCAGAACCCTGTTATCATGCTGGGAGTGCCAACCAAGACCAGATTTCTACACATATAATGCCAAGTCCCAGAGTTTTCCCTGGAAATGCGGGGCAGAGCCAGTATTATCCAGTGCTGGCATCACTTGGCCATGATTTAGAATTCACTAGCAGCAAGACCAGCAGAGAAGGCAGGCATGGAAAGGCACCAGAGGTGCTCAAAGCACTCTTATGTCTCCAGGGAGTACCAAACCCCCAAAAGACGATTTCTCAACTTTGTTCCATGAATTAAAGTTCTTAGTTACTCACATGCAAGATGGCTATAAGTAAAATAAAAATGTTCATATTCACACATCTGTTCATCTAAAATAAGTCATTTAACAAAAAAGTTGAAAAAATTATGCATATTGGGTGATAATGTATTTATGTTAAGATGTGATTAAAATACCTAATTTTGAGGAAATAATCTCTAAGTTTTTGGTTTGGGGATTATTTTTAGATCATGAGGCTGGAGATGGAGTCCTGAAGCCAGAAGAAGCAGGCATGCTTTCAGAAGAATTAAAATGGGCATCCAGGCCTGAAAGTATGAAATTCAGTGGAAGAGAAAGAGAAATGGACAGTACAGCAAGCAGCTTAAGAACACAGCCAAATCCTCACAAACTCTGGGAAGATGGCCCAGAATTACCTCCAATTCATAGTTCTTTAGCACCCCCTAGTGGGCATATGTTAAGCAATGAGGATAAAACAGAAATAGATGATTATCAGTTTACAAAATCTCACAGTCGACTACCATCCCAAATTCAGGTTGTGGGAAATGTGGTGGGACAGCTTCATGGTGTTACACCTGTAAAATTATGTCGAAAAGAATTACGTCAAGTTTCTGCCTTGGAACTATCATTGCGACGTTCCAGTCTTGGAGTTGGTGTTGGATCAATGGCTGCCGATTCCATCGAAGTATCTAGGAAACCAAGTGACTTAAAAACTTAGGCATTTAATAATAGAACTTTTAGTAGACATGTAAAAAGATTCCTTTTTCTAACCTGTTAAAAATGAAAGCTCAAGCTCACTACCTCTTTCCTCAGGATAAAGGAAGAAGGGGAGGAAGGAATCCCTAATCCTTTTATATACTATAAATATGTACATCTTCTATAACGTATTTGGGGATTTTTAATTTAAATTCCCATAGTAACCAAACACGTTTCCAATACTTGATAACATTTAAGTATTTACATTTATAAATATGCTTAATGTTTTTCCAGGCATATTTGAAGAACAAAACTAATAATAGACTAAAATATCTAGTATGTATTATTATATAAATGTACATTATAAAAGTATATGATATGACTATATTATTGTTATTCTTATATACAAGTATATTGTTATTTTTAAAAGACCCAGCTAAATCTTGCTTTTGTCAGAGGGAGTCACCTGCTGCATATGTGGGCTAAGACAACCTGTCAGCTTTATGGATTGAGGCTAATTTACAGTCTTCGGAGCTCACAGAAATGGTCGGTCTTGACTTTTTAAACTTGCTCACTGTTCTGTTTCTGGAATTTTTTTATATTTATAATGTTGTGTTTTTGGTTTGCTAATATTATGCAATATAAGTTTTCATGTCTTTCCTGCCCTATACACTCAATATATCTCTCATTATGTTACTAACATTGGGAGAAATGGATGCTGTTCCATGGAACAGGGAAACAGTAGAATAAAACCTAAAGGATTCTAACATTTCAAGAGAAAGAACACTGGTTATGACATCTCTGGTCACATGGACTGTGTCTGTAAAGCTTGAAGTCTGGCCAAAGCATCTTTAATGATCTGATGATAGGCTTAAGTCTGAGATTTTTCTCTACAGCCTGCTTAGTTAGGTTTTACAAACTGGCTAAACTACATTGGGGCTATAAATATGTCAATGAAATTTTTACTAAAATCTCCAAGTTTTTCTGGTCAAAAATTTACTATATAATGTACAATTTAGTTTGGTATTAAGAACTAAACAATTTGCCCTCCAAATGTAGTTTGTGCTTTTTAACCATACTTTTCAGGAAACATCCATCTTAATGACTTGAGGAATTATTTTGTTACTTATGTTGTTGTTTGCTACTTTTCCAAACTTTCACTTGTAAGCCAAAGCTGAGTTTCTTAAACTAATTAATGTTTGGGTGTGGGCAATAGCAAAACCATCCTGACATGGATATTTACTTAGAGTCACCCACTTCCTTGTTGAATCCATTTTTTCTGATGTAGCACTACGACAGACCTTTTCCTTTTGTCCTTTCCTCTGTTGCTATGGACTTAAGCATTTCACATAGGACCCAAACTGTCACCCTTGCTCAAAGACTGAAGACTTCCTTTCTCTAGCTGCTAGCACCTAGGGAGTAGAGAGTTTCTTGGTTTCCTTGCTAAAATCCAGTTCCTTTAGGAAGCAGATCAAAGCAAAACAAACTTATGAAAAGGATAACAGTTTATCTCTTAAGCATGGTACTAAAATTCATTTAAATTAAATAGATTTCTGTGGACTCATCTGGGAATGAAACAATTTATAATATTCATCCAATGAGTTACTGTTTTCTAAATTTCAAACAACTAATTAGAAACTAACTGGAAAATTTTATACAAACCAAAGGTAAAACATACACATTATAAATATGTATAAATGCACTGACCTTTTGCCATTTTATATATATATATACACACACACACACACACACACACACACACACACACACACGTATATATGCAGGTATATAAGGAAATATGTTTGTATTTCCACAGGTAAAACAAGTTATGTGTAAATTATTTCTAATTAAGGCATAGCGCATTACTTAATCTTACAAAGCATTTATAATTATGACATTCATTAATAAATACATATTTATTTATAAATATATTATTGCTGTGCCTTGTTGAAGGCACTGAACTGACCTTGTGCCATTATCTATATCTATATATATATACACTTGTATGTAAACACTTGTATATATAGTATATATACACTTGTATATAAATATAGATATATCTGGCCGGGCATGGTAGCTCACGCCTGTAATCCAAGCATTCTGGAGGCCAAGGCGGGTGGATAACCTGAGGTCAGGAGTTCAAAACCAGCCTGACCAACATGGTGAAACCCTGTCTTTAAATAAATAAATAAATAAATAAATAAAGATATATCTATAGGGTATACATTATATATTATTTCATTATATAATGATATATTTCATATGATTTATTATATATAGCTATAATGTATATATATAGATACACTTGTATTGTACATAGATATATATAATGGCTGAAGGTCAGTGTCTTTAATAACAACCACAGCATTTAGTTATTTATTTAGAGATGGACTCTTGCTCTGTCACCCAGGCTGGAGTGCAGTGGTGTGATCTTGGCTCACGGTAACCTCCACCTCCCAGGTTCAAGCAATTCTCCTGCCTCAGCCTCCTGAGTAGCTGGGATTACAGGTGTGTGCCATCATGCCCAGCTAATTTTTTTTGTATTTTTAGTAGAGACAGGGTTTCACCATGTTGGCCAGGCTGATCTTGAACTCCTGACCTTGTGATCCACCCACCTCAGCCTCCAAAGTGCTGGGATTACAGGCATGAGCCACTGCGCCCGTCAATAATATATTTATAAATAAATATATATTTATTAATAAAGGTCCTAATTATAAGTTCTTATAAGATTAAGTAATGTGCCATGCCTTATTTAGAAATAATTCATTTAAGAATGTATCCTGATACTGGAATCCTACTTGTTCAAGAAATTAACACGTACTTGTTTTACCTGTGGAAATACACATTTCCTCAAAGCAAGTCACTAATAAAGCAAGAAAATGTATATCAAAACAACAGTGATTAGGTTTGATTATACAAATGTGAGTTGATTTTTAAATAACAAATGTATGATTTTTTTCTTCCTTTTGGTTAAACATATATCCTTTATATACAATGACAGATTTCATGCCACATATGCAAATACACATATAAATAATGTGAATAATATATTCTGGAAATGAACCTCTGGTCATTCTAGTTTAGTCGGTGTTCTCACAAAGGAAAGAAAAATTAGACACCTACCCAAGGCAAGTAAAATTTTTTTTTGCATATTCTAATAATGATTTTACTATTTTTCACATGCTTTGTCTAAACATTTTGTCACTTCATTGCCTTTTGCATGTATATAAAATGTTTGTGGTTTTCTTTTTTTGTTTTTGGTTCATTATGTTCTTTTTTTTCTCTAACTGTAATAAAGCATTTGAAAGGAAAAATATTTATACAGTACCAGTTACTTTCCTAACTGTAGAGTGTTACAGCTAACAGAGATGGAAAATTTTGTAAGTTGGGAACCATAAGTGGTGAGAACATTGATGAAGGTGCTTTTGTGCTTTAATGTTTGCTTTATTTTGTTAATGTATTTTTTTTTTGTTCCCTCAGTTCTTCATATATTCATGAACTCCAGGTCCAAGGACTCAGCAAAAATACATATGATCTTCATTAATGTGATCTAGATTGCCACTAGCCGTTGCCTTATTTAGTCTAGGCCAGTAAAGTGAGGAACGCTTATTTGAGACTAAATTCCTTACATAGAAAAAAATAAGTTTTGGAATGAATGTCATGGAGCAAAATCCTTAGTGGGAGTTAGGGTCTATGGTCAAAATAAATTCTCATACATTAAATGCAAGTATGACATATTTTGATCTTTCACTTATTTCCTTAGGCACCTACTCATGACTTTAAAACAGTGGGGTATCAGTATTTAAAAGTTCAGGTAGAAAGTTACTTATGTCCACAATTCCTCTCTCAACTTCACTGGAATTTTTTTAAAAATTCATTATGTATATTTTACATTTAAAGTTATAACAGATTGTAAGCTGCCTTGATTAACACTGATAATATACTCTTCTACATTTATATTTTCAAAAATTGACATAAAGGTGAGAATGAGATCCATCTACAATAAGCATCTCAAAAGCATTCGGCATGTAGTACTTTTGAGCTTATGTTGGCAGAAGTATACCAAGGGTAGGGTACTGGGGAGCCTCTGCCCAATAAGGAAAAGTAGTTTTCCTTATTGCTGCTGCTAAAAGCAGGCTGACTTCATAGATTATGTTGTTTTTACATTATCTGCAAACAGTGCACCCCTTATTGCCTACACTAAGGTTGACAGCTGTGATTCCTTGCTCTTGGAATGCACTGCATACAAAGCATCAAACACTGGAATAGTGTTTGATTTTTATAATGGCTTTTTTTTTTTTTTTTTTTGAGACGGAGTTTCACTGTTGTTGCCCAGACTAGAGTGCAATGGCACGATCTCGGCTCACCGCAACCTCCGCCTCCTGGGTTCAAGCAATTCTCCTGCCTCAGCCTCCCGAGTAGCTGGGATTACAGGCATGCACCATCATGCCCAGCTAATTTTTGTATTTTTAGTAGAGACGGGGTTTCACCTTGTTGACCAGGATGGTCTCGATCTCTTGACCTCGTGATCCACCCGCCTCGGCCTCCCAAAGTGCTGGGATTATAGGCGTGAGCCACCGCACCCGGCCGGCTTTTTTTTTTTTTTTTTTTAAGATGGAGTCTCGCACTGCTGCCCAGGCTGGAGTGCAGTGGCATGACTTCGGCTCACTGCAACCTCTCCGCCTCCTGGGTTCAAGTGATTCTCCTGCCTTAGCCTTCCCAATAGCTGGGATTACAGGTGCCCTCCACCATGCCTGGCTAATTTTTGTATTTTTAATAGAGACGGTTTCACCATATTGGCCAGGCTGGTCTCAAACTCCTGACCTTGTGATCCACCCACCTTGGCCTCCCAAAGTGCTGGGATTACAGGCTTGAGCCACCGTGCCCAGCCTATAATGGCTTTCATGTTGACCCCAAACATGACTCCATAATAGATGTAATTAGAACAAAGAAAATTATGAAAAGAAATCCCAGAAAAGTTGATGTTATAATGATGGCTTTTGATATTTTGCATAGTTCTCATTTGTCTGTTTTTATATTTCCTTCTAGGAATTTCTTCAATGAGTCAACAGAATTGGCACTATTTGAAATGCTAACAGTATAATTTGATTAAACCCAAATATATTCAATTAGACCTAGATATTATATTCTTCTGGTTCACTATAACACACAGCTCTATTGAGTTATCTCTATAGTACTTTAAGAGCAAAATACAACAATCTCACAATCTGTTACAACAAGCAAGATCCCTATACCCCCAAGGAACAAAACCATTCACAACAGAAAAGAACAGAAAACTAAATATTTTTTTAAATGGCTACTTAATGATTCTTAGAATTTAAAATGATCTATTAATAATTATATTATTGAAGTAGAACAAAAGGAATTATTTTAAAACCATACTTGTATTTTGTATTATTGTATTTTCAAGCTTACTATAGCATATATATGTAAAGCAAGGTATAATTTTTCAAGTCCAAAGTGGTAAATATTGTTAGAAGTTATGTGATCTAAAGTGTCTTATTTTTAAATGAACCATCCCTTGGACCCCACACCCCAATTACCAACAACAAATTATAGGCATAGGCTTACTTACCTTTCACTTCCCACAGTGATGTAGGATTCCAGTAGTTCTGAGACAGATGACTGGAGTGGGAGGGAGACAGGAGGGAAAGAAGTTTATGTGAAAGTATTCCATAGACGAGCAAAGGATTTTCAAAAAATATTTTGATAGAATATATTTCTCTGGCCTAAGGACTGAAACTTAAATTCAACCTTTGGCTG